TGTTAGATTTTCCTCCAGAACTGTATAGGCTATTTAATGGAAATCATCCTAAATCGAATAATTTTTTTGAAAACATTCGTTATTATAATAATTCACTTTCATTCGCCTCTTTTAATGCTAATCTGGTTAATTTTCAATCACGCCGTCCTGGACCTTATTGTTTCAAAATTCATGGACAAATTTACTATCAAATTAATACATCTCTTTATCCTTGTGAAAATGAAAATCCGGTGTATGGACAACTGTTTTTTGTTGATCAAGAAGAAGCTCTTAATGTTAGAAAAATCCAAAATCCTCATCTTGATCAAGAAACGCTTTCAATTTTAGATAAAGTAATAAGAGAGAATAATATTTTTGCACAATCTTACGAAATGATGAAACAAGAAATAAACAATCAGAGATCACTGATGAATGAGGAACATGAACCAGAATTGCAACTACTATTTTCCTTAAAACCAGGATTTGATAGACGAAGATTCAATTTACAGCGAACAAATGAAGTTGCTGCTATTTTTTCGACAACAGCTGATGGTGAAATCCCAGAGTCTTATGTAACTATTAGGAATAAAAATACAAAAGTGTTAAAATGCGTTAGTACTATGGATCCAAATGTTGAACCATGGATTTATCCATTATTTTACCTTTATGGATCACAAGGATGGCATAGAAATTTAGAACGTATCAAGATCAACGATAATGATATAAATCGTCGAGTAACACGTTTGGCTTACACTAAATTTAAAATTGCTGTAAGGCCAGATGAATTTAACGCTATTTTATTCGGTCGTCGATTATTTCAACAATGGGTTGTAGATGCTTACGTTAAAATTGAAAAAGACAGGATTCAGTAGTGCAAAGATAATCAAAAACAGATAAAAGCAGATACCTACCAAGGACTACACGATTATTTACATAAATCTGCTAATGACATTGACGGCCAAGTTGGCAAAACTGTAATTTTACCGTCGACTTTTTTAGGATCCCCTCGCCATATGCAACAAAATTATCAGGATGCAATGGCTTTAGTCAGTAAAACTGGTAAACCTGACATCTTTCTTACAATGACTTGCAATCCTAGATGGAAAGAGCTACAAGAAAATCTTTTACCGGGTCAACAAACCTGTGATAGACCTGATATTGTAGCTCGCGTATTCCATTTGAAAAAGAATTGTTTGCTTGATGTAGTCGTGAAAGGGAAGTTTTTTGGAGATGTAGCATCTTATGTTTATGTCATTGAATTTCAAAAGCGTGGTCTACAACATATGCACTTATTGCTTACTTTAAAATATGCTTATAAAATAACCACACCTGAAATTGTTAACAAATTCATATCAGCTGAACTTCCTGATAAAGAACGATCCTCTTTTATATGATATCGTTGTAAAAAATATGACTCATGGACCTTGCGGTGATTGTATGATAAACAACAAATGTTCAAACAAATTTCCAAAAAATTTTCAAAATGAAACAATTATGGATGAAAACGGATATCCTCATTACCAAAGGAAAAATGACGGCGTCACTTATGAACTACCTAACGGTCACGTCATTGATAATAATCGATGGGTTGTACCGTATTGCCGTGATATATTAAAAATGTTCAACTGTCACATAAAGGTGGAAATTGTTTCAAGTGTTCGAGCTATAAAATACTTATATAAATACATTTATAAAGGGCACGACGCAGCTACTGTAACTATTGGAAGTGAAAATGTATCTAAAACTATCAGCCATGATGAGGTTGCTAATTTTATAGAAACTCGGTATGTCGGACCCGTTGAAGCATGTTATAGAATTTTCAGTAAGCCATTACAAGATAAAAGTCACGCTGTCGAAAGATTACCAATTCATTTACCAAATCGACAGTCCGTTATAATTTCTAATGTAGACAATTTTGTAGAAAACCTAAATCAAGCAAGTAGTAAGCTACTTGATTTTTTCAAATTAAACATTGAAAATGAAAATGCGCGCAAGTATTTTTACAGCGATATTGCATCTTTTTTTACTTATAAAAAAGAAAAAATTAATGGGATCATGACATCTAAATGAGCTACACGTAAAAAACAGTTTAACTGTATTGGGCGAATGTTTTCTGTCAGTCCTACACAAATAGAGCTCTTTCACTTGCGACTGTTATTATTGCACGTAAAAGGAGCTACCAGTTTTGATTCGTTTAAAACAGTTAATGGCATAGTCCAACCTACGTTTACAGCAGCATGCTTAGAACTTGGGCTAATAGAAGATGATCAAGAATGGGCCAAAGCAATCGAAGAAGCATCAATGTGGATGATGCCACGCCGACTTAGACAACTATTTACTCGAATTTTAATACACTGCCAACCAATACATCATGAAGTATTATGGGATAAATTTAAAAACGCGTTATCTGAAGATTTTTCACGGACAAATAATTCTGCTGTGAGTCATGAAATGGCATACTCTGAAATTAATAATTTGTTAAATTGTGAAGGTAAAAGTTTGTCTGATTTCCCTTCTATGGATCAAACAGTGATTACACATTTATTACCGGAAAATGATAATGAATTATCACAAACAGAATTTGCAGACATTGGTAAAAAACAATATGAGCTATTGAATGAACAGCAAAAAGAAATTGTTGATATTGTTTTATATAAAGCTATTAATAACAATAATCATGACAATAATTGTATATATATCAATGGCCCAGGAGGGTCCGGAAAAACTTTTATTTATACAACTATTTACAATTTATTGTGTTCACAAGATATTAAAGTATCTTCAATGGCTTTTACTGGTATTGCAGCAATATTACTTCCAAAAGGAAAAACAGTGCACAAAACATTTGGTCTTCCTGTTCCAATGAATAGCGATTCATCATCAAACATTACAGCACAATCTAAGGAAGGTCGTCTACTCATGGAAACAAAAGTTTTTATTTGGAACGAAGTGCCTATGGCTCCGAGATATGCACTAGAAATAGTAAACAGAACTCTACAAAATATCATGGGCAATGACTCACCTTTTGGAGGTAAAATTATGGTTTTAGGCGGTGATTTTAGACAACTTCTTCCCATTAAACTTAATGGAACACGCACGGAAACTCTAAATCTTACTATTAAATATAGCTTATTATGGCAACATTTCCACAAATACAATCTTACCACAAATATAAGAGTCTTACCTCATGAAATTGATTTCGCTAAATTCTTATTGTTAGTTGGTGACGGAACTCTGAACGATCAAAATGACAATTTAGTTTTACCTGATCACTGTCTTTTAAAAAAAAGTGATGATATAGTTCTTAGTGTGTTTCAACGATTGATCATAGAAAAGAAATTCGATGCAATGAGTAAATGTGCTATTTTGTCCGCCCGAAACATTAACGTTGATGAATTAAATAGATTAGTTACTGATTTATTAGACGAAACTACTGAACATATTTATACCAGTATTGATAGCACCGAAAATTGTGACAATGGTGAATTTGACGAAGTACTTTTACCAGAATATCTAAACTCATTAAATCCTTCCAGTTTGCCTCCACATGAATTACGATTAAGACAAAACTGTATTGTAATGTTAATTAGGAATTTAAGTATTCATGAAGGTTTGTGTAATGGTACACGTTTGAGAGTATTAGATTTTTCTAACCATTTGTTGAAATGTGAAATTTTAACTGGAGACAAATCAAAGAATATTGTATTCTTAAATCGAATTTCATTATTTTGTACAAATGAGTATCCATTTACTTTCAAAAGACGCCAGTTTCCTATCAAATTAGCGTTTGCAATGACAATAAATAAAGCTCAAGGTCAAACGTTTGATGATATTGTTATTGATCTTCGTAGAGATGTGTTTAATCATGGTCAATTGTACGTAGCAATGTCGAGAGTGCGCTCGTGGGATACGCTAAAAATTTTTCTTGGAAATCAGCAACATAATAATAATGTTAAAAATTATGTTTTCAAAGAGCTTTATTCGTAAAAATTTTCTTCTGTCTATTAGTAAATCTTAATAATATTAGGCGCGCGAAGCGCGCTGTGTGATTCTAGTTTGAATAAAAGGACCGTCGAAGGAGCATCGCTCAAGAGCTGTTAAACGACGTCAATGTTGATCCTGATATGTTCAAAAGAGTCATAAATGGTGAAGAATCATGGGTTTATGGTTATGACGTCGAAACTAAAGCCCAATCGAACCAATGGAAGACTCCAGAAGAGCCAAGATCGAAAAAAACACGTCAAGTTCGATCAAATGTCAAGGTTTTGCTCACTGTTTTCTTTAATTATCGCGGCATAGTACATCAAGAGTTCTGACCACAAGGTCGTATGGTCAATAAAGAGTATTACCTTGAAGTAATGTCCCGTTTGCGAGAAGCAATACAAAAAAAAGTCCGGAATTGTGGGAAACCAATTCATGGATTTTGCATCACGATAATGCACCTGCTCACTCATCGTTGCTTGTGTCAAACTTTTTGGCCAAAAACAAAACCAGAATCATACCTCAGGCACCATATTTACCGGATATGGCCCCCTGCGACTTTTTCCTGTTTCCAAAACTCAAGAAACCTATGAAAGGACAGAGGTTTGGAACGATTGAGGAGATAAAGAAAAAATCGCTAGAAAAACTCAAGGCTATACTAGAAAGTGCTTACCAGAAGTGCTTTGAGGATTGGAAAAAACGTTGTCACAAGTGTATTATATCTAAGTGGAATTATTTTGAAGGGGATAATATAAATATTGATGAAAAACAAAATATTTTTTCATAAAAATAAAAATTCACCTTGCTTTTTGAACACACCTCGTATATGTATATTTCGATAATTCGACTTTTTTTTTAACAGTTCCATGGTGTTCGAACCTCAGATGCTAATGAATCTATGGAACTGCTGAGAATATGATAAGTACTAAAATTTAGATGAGTGTGGAAATGAACAAGCTGTGGCTTGCGAAGTAACAAATTTAATTCTTTTCTCATATAGTTTATTAAAAAGTATTAATTATTGTAATTAACTAGTTTACCTTCGTCAGTTTCATATTCATCTTCTTCGCGACACTCTGATAAACGTCTACCCCAAGGATATGGACTATGTGTTTGATTTCTTGACGGTAAACGATTAACATGAGATAAAAAATAATGATGAAAAAAGCAGTCAACTCCTTCCGATTCTTCGCCAGATGATTGTAACATGTCTTTCAATGCTGCTAAAGATGTAATAGTATTGTAATTAATTGCCGATATCAAGTCATCTTCAATGTCGCTATCATCAGTTGTATCATCAACTTTATTTTCTTCAATTTTGTTGACTTCGGTTTTGGTTGATTCTATTGATTTGCGAGTCTCTGTTTTCAAATATAACTCAGCTTTTTCTTCTGAACTTGTCTCTGAATCGCCATCAGAACTAGAACTTGATGAAGAAGTAGAAGAATAGTCTCTTTTTTTCTTTTCTTTTTCACTTTTGTTTGTGACTTCTTCATTTGTTTCCGCAAATTTATGTTTTCTTTCATATGTATTCTGAGAAACATTCTTGATAGAAGGTGTTTCTATTGATGGTAATGTACTTGTTGATGTACTTTGATTTTTTAGTGAGTTTTCTATTTCATATGTTGTTTGACCATCGAAAAGTATAACTTCCACGGATTGAACAGTATTGTTATCTTTACAATCAATTTCGACAGAGCTGCCTTGAGCAACAGTTTCAATATTCTCCATTGACAAATACCTGAAAATTTTACGTGTTTTTCAATGAAAATTTACATATAAATTAGAATGATCCATTAATGATATTAATTTCATATGAATTAAAAATATAATAAAAATCATCCTACAGCTTATTGAAATTAAATTAATCTACATTAAATTTTTATAAAATCTGTGTTTTTTTTGAAATTTTGAAAAAAATTGTTTCTAATTTTATGGCGCAATATCAAAAATTTGTTTGTTATAGTGTTACAGATGCAACGCCCGAGACTCCGTGCAAATATTCGCATAGATGCATTAGAAAAAGAAATTATTAGGTGAGATATTAAAACAGGCGCGGATTAGTGCGATAAAATACGGGCGTAGGACATGGGCAAGTACGCACGAACCGTGAGCGCAAGCACATGCATGATCTCTCTTAATATTTAAGAGATATCTTACTAGGGAACCACCTCACCCTCCGCAGCCGATTTTTCTGTAATTGAGATATGTTATAGTTCGTAAAAAAATAAAAGACCCGTATTTTATTTATCGGCGGAAAAAGCTATCTAAGGGATGAAACCCACACCCTATAAAACAGCCCCAAAAGCAGTTCTATAGCAATATCTTTAGTTGTAATGAATATTTTTTTATGAAACAAAAAAACACAAGATACTTATAAAAAAAGTAACAGACACACATCAATTTGGCTTCCCCTCCCCCCCACCGGGGGTTGCAACCCCTACGTTATATAGGGGAAAAACTATTTTTAAGTGTATTTTTACCTTACAAAATCAAAAAATTATGTTAAAAAAATTGAAAAAATGATATTCTAGTAGAAAATGATAAAACAAAATTGACGTGTTTCGGGGTTTTCCTATTATCTATTATTTCGAGAATGAACTACCCCTTAATGTTATTAATACAATATAAGCACTCGTTAATCGAAGATTTTGCTGATTATTTCATGATCTAAGATGCTCAAAAAAGCCAAACACATGTATACTTTTGTTCTGCCGAATAAACTATTTAGAGGCTGAAAGCTACCTCCGAAAGTTACCCCTCAACACAATTTTCAAGCGAAATTTTCATATTCTATGCACCGTTTTCGACGAAACAAACTCTAAAAAATTCTTTTAAAAAATTTCAGCTAAATACAGGGTGGCCCATTTTAAGTGATCCACTCAGATATCTAGATTGGAGTGAGTTTTATCGAAAAAAGTTTCAGACAAAAGTTACTCAACTTTGAGGGGGCCATGTTTCTATGACCTTGGATTTACCCTTGGAGGTCATGTTCAAGGTCATTTCAAGGTCAACTTTGTTTTTTTAAATAGGAACCCCCATTTTTGACCCCGGATTCGGAAAGAGCGGGAAATTTTATGTCCAAAACGGTATTTTTAAATTTTTTTTCATGGCCTTGAGAAGGTCGATTTAAGGTCAAATGCTTGAAAAACTGCATAAAAGCGTTTTTTTAATTTTTAAGATATCGAAAAATGACCTCTACAAAATTTGTTCAGAATAGAGTGGGCCACCCAATGCACCAAAAACCTTTGACCTTTAACCTCATTTTGAAGGTCATTTCAAGGTCGAAGTGTTTTTTGTAATGGAAACCCCTCTTTTTGACCCCGGATTCGCCCATAGCGCGATACTCAACACAATACCTTATCCAAACGTCGGATTTCGCGCTATGTGCGTATCCGGGGTTAAAAAGAGGGATTTCCATTACAAAAAACACTTCGACCTTGAAATGACCTTCAAAATGAGGTTAAAGGTCAAAGGTTTTTGGTGCATTGGGTGGCCCACTCTGTTCTGAACAAATTTTGTAGAGGTCATTTTTTGATATCTTAAAAATTAAAAAAACGCTTTTATGCAGTTTTTCAAGCATTTGACCTTAAATCGACCTTCTCAAGGCCATGAAAAAAAATTTAAAAATACCGTTTTGGACGTAAAATTTCCCGCTCTTTCCGAATCCGGGGTAAAAAATGGGGGTTCCTATTTAAAAAAACAAAGTTGACCTTGAAATGACCTTGAACATGACCTCCAAGGTCAAATCCAAGGTCATAGAAACATGGCCCCCTCAAAGTTGAGTAACTTTTGTCTGAAACTTTTTTCGATAAAACTCACTCCAATCTAGATATCTGAGTGGATCACTTAAAATGGGCCACCCTGTATATGGATTTCGTCTACAGGGGTAGCAACTCCCTAAGTCGCCTGAAAGAAAAACTATGTTTTCAAATATTTTCTTGAAAAATTTTTTCAGAAGAAATGAAGTTTATGAAATTCCGTTTAAAATCTAACACAAAAGTATACAGTATCCGTCACCAGGAGCTGCTACCCCTTCATTGAAGAGTGAACAGAGCATTCATTTGTTACCCTGATCCCCTACCATCCCGAACCCAATTTCATCAACCCTCAAGTTGGTTACGCTGCTACGCTGTAATCCCACACTCTTAAACCCAATTTCCGTAACCCTCGAGCTGGATTACGCTGCCACGTTCTAACCACGAACTCCTACACACGAATTTCATCAACCCTCGAGCTGCTTACCCTGCTACGATCTAACCCCGAACTCCTACACCCTAATTTCATCAACCCTCGAGCTGGTTACCCGGCAACGCTGAAACCCCATCTCTTAACCCCGATTTCCGTAACCCTCGAGCTGGATTACCCTGCCACAGTGCTGGGCATCGATGGTTTATATCGAAAAAAAGAGCTCCCTAGAGCTGACTTCAGTTTGTACACTGAAAGAGCTCTTTCCGATTCCACTCGTTCCACGGTTCCGTTCAGTTTTGAATTGAGAAAAAAAAGATTGTCATGCACTTGCATGTAAAAAGTATTAAATTACAATTATTTTCTAATTTTTTTTTGTATATCTTAATTTTTGTAATAATAATTTTATTTACTTTATTTGGATTATTGTTTATATTTTTGTTTTATAAATTACTGAATTGTGTAATGCAGAAAATTTATTACTAGTTATTATTATTGTTATTATAAAAATGTTCTAATTAAAAAAATAAAATGATACTATCAGTTATTATATTTTGTTATAGATTATCTAGAAGAAATTATGATAGGAGTAGTATAATTATAATTTATATAATAATTTATAATAAATACACATTTTTCTTACGTTATTTATTCAACATTGATCAAATTATATATATATTCTGATAACAATTCCTAAATATTCTTATAAAAAATAATAATAATATATATATATATATATATATATATAATTTATCGAATAACTTAATCTTATTGTATTTAACCGAATATCGAAAATTATGAAAAATACACATAGCTAAATTGCTTAGATGTTTAAATTTATATTTATTATTTGCTTAATTGTTTAAATATACAATATGCAAGTCGGTCCAGACGATCTCCTTGCAATGAATGCAATGAAAATACATTTTCAATTATTAGCAGATCATAAATGTTGCATAAAACTAAAGAAATAGTTGATTCAACAGGTCTCCATACTTTTTTTTGAAGAAATATTCGTTTTACAATTATCCTAGAATAAACAGCTGTTGACAGTCTAATAGTCGGCCCAGATGATCTCCGTGCAAAGAGTGCATGAAAAATACATTTGCAATTGTTAGCAGATCATAAATGTTTTATAAAACTACGGAAATAGTCCATTAAACAGTTTTCCATACCTTTTTCAGAAGAAATACTCATTTTACAATTTACGCCAGAATAAACAGCTGTTGACAGTCTAATAGTCGGCCCAGATGATCTCCGTGCAAAGAGTGCATAAAAAATAAATATGTCAATTTTAGCATATCATAAATGTTTTATGTAGCAGTAGTAAATTAATAGGAAAAACCAAATTTCAAATACTGATGAAACAACATTTTTAAGAATTTCAAAAAGCTGTTGGGTTAGAATCATGTTTCTTTTTTCCACCCTTCATTGGAAGTTTGGACGATTAAACGAAATATTACATTGCGAGCGAATTAAATTATTATTAACGTATTATAAAATAATAATATACTGCGAAAATGAGAATTTGAATGGTTGATAACTATTGGAATATATAGTTAGCAACGAATCTTGCGTTTTGTGAGTGATTTATCACAAAAGCTTTGAACTTGATACAATTATTTAAATTAAACTGTTAATAAACTGACGTATTATGATCTGCAACAACGCATATCAATGTACACAATATATAAGAGATGAATGAAACTAAACATCAAATGAAAGCACGAAAAGCTAAGCGGTAATTAACTTTATTTAAGATATTTATTATAATATCGCTAATGTAACAAATTATCAATTTTGTTACTTTACGTACGTATTGTTAACATGAATTAACGTATCACTATAAAATAATTTGACTTGAAAACTAATTTGATTGAAAACTAACATTGAACGTTGCAAACTTCATAGTCATAAACAATTGAATTTATTACAAGTTTTACAAAAAGCATTATCAGCAATAAAAATATGAATGACAGACATAATTATTTTTATAACCCCTGATTTGATAGCTAATTTGTATAACAAACTTCCTCGTTCCTCTCTTTGAAGCATCGATGTTCGATTGAATGCTACAGTGAGCAAATATAAATCAAATTCAGACGTATTAGCTGAATTCATACTTGTAGAAGCAAATCTGAGAATGAATCCGAAAGTAATTCACATTTAAAGCGTCTGATTCGCGAATGCATTATGAAAATGAAAATTGAAATAATACAAAAACGATTTATTTACCGAAGTTAGTGGTATAGATAGTTCAGTAAAAAAGTGTAAAATTCAATATTTTAGTTTTCGTTGCAAGCACAAGTTGCACTTACTCGTCAATTACTCTGTTTTCAAAGATTGAATTGAATCTAAGATGGAGTTTAGCTAAACATGAATATTAGAGTTATTTTTATTGAGACAAAGGTTACATTAGAAAATATTGCTAAGAAAATAGTATACTCAGCGTGGGTGTAATCACCGCAACTAAAGAAAGTATCAACTTCGAAAAGAAATAATTAAACTTCAAATGAAATTTCGTTTGTGAATATTACTTAAAATGACAATTTG